TTTATTTCTGGGCACTGGGACTTCCTTCACTGGCCAAATGTAGTAATCTAGTGCCACCACTAGTGCCATCAGCCACAGACATTCCTAGACGTTAGTAAAGAGCTGGCAGACACGCCTCAGAACTTGACAGAGACCTGGCAGCTACTAGAGGTCACCTCAGCCAGTGCCTTTAGTCTGAGAAGTTAATTTAAATGCCTACATATGAAAGTATCCTGTGTCACTTCCAGCTGCTACAGCAAAAAGAGATGGATCTTTGTGAAGTCCTGTGGCATATCTGCCTGCACTGTACAGATGTCTTGGATATCCCTGGGCACCATTGGTGGCAGCAGACATCTCTGCTGCCTTTAGTCATAACAGTTAATGGATTGTGCAGAAGGTCTCTGCTGATCTGCCTTTGGGTGCCTACTTTAAGTGAACTCAATCTCTCTACAAGATCTAGTGATTATGCTGATCAGATCTTTGTCTGCTATGAGACCGTAAACAACAGCACGGATGTAGACATCATCATTTAGTGGGACTTGGCAGTACTAGATATATGGTTGGAGTTGATGATCTTAAAAGTCTTTTCCAACCTAAGTTATTCTATGATTTAGGCACTTGGGCATTTAGGTATGTGTAGATACAGACATTGAAACTCAGTCCTATACTAAATGGTAGTTGCTAACTCGATTCAGTGCCCACTGTTCCCACAATAAAGAGCACATTTAAGAAATAACTGCATGTTATTCAATAGTATTCCTTTTTTGTCATTTTAGAGGGTGACTTAACTCTTCAACATGTCTCCTTTGTTCAGTACATCACTGCACTGCGAGAAGCTAAAAGTACGTTTTTAGCACTACAGATGTATCTTTTTTTAAATGACATTATTTTTATTGCAATCACTCCTGAATGCTTTTTTCATGATTTGGAAATAGATGAAGGAAGAGAGCTGAAGTGGTAGGAAATGTGAAGAGATGGGTTCTGTATCATGCACTTTATCTACGTGGACTGTGATTAAGTAAAATAGCTCAATTCATAATAAAAATCCATCTCAAGGATTGCACTTATCTTTAAATCTTGATAGTCTATAAGCAATCTTAACATCAGGTGTATGCTGAAAAGACTGTCATGAATAAGGAGAACTTTTAAGAATGGTATTTCTGAACTGGGGTCATGAAATGGGTAATGGCTGGTGATGGCAGGATATCTGAAATCTTACACAAGATAGAATAATGGAAGTCGACTCAGAAAATATGCTCTAATGTAGAAGTCTGGCACTTGTGTTAGAAACGTATTTATTCTCTGGGTGAATCTAAGCACAAGTTGTAAGTGTTGAGCCTAGTGCAACGATCACTTTGCATGACATTTTACTGTAGCCTTTGACAACTTCATGAACAGGAAAATCCAGCTGAGTGGAAATGAATACACTAACCATAAAATGTAGTGGACATGGAAAATAAGAGAGCTGTTCTTGCAGCTACGGCTTAGGGAAAGAGAAGTGAGAAGCAGTTTTCTAAACCTTCAGGCTTGTTAAGAAACACATAAAAAGCAATTCCAGTTTTAACAAAAGAGTATCCAGACAGACTTTTGGATAAGACATCCCTGAAGGAAGAGAAAGAAGAAAGGAAAATCTCCTGAATCGATTGAGAAGCTGGACAAATCAAGGAGAATATATTGTCAAACACAAGTTTGATAATTATTCTATAATTTTGCAACTTTGTGTCTCATTTTAATGTAATATTTTAATCTTTTCCTTAATAGAGTAAACCAAATGTTTTCTCTTTCTTTAATCTTTTTTTTTATAGAAAGTATCATTTCTGAGTAATCTGACTCAGTTAATAACTCCAGTCCTTTGGACATAGTGACTCTCTGGATAACAGGAAATGCCATGATTAGAGATGGTCAGTCAACCAACATAAGTAGTAGATTTCTGGAAAGTAGATACTGGTCAGTGGTTATTTTAAAGTCTAGTGACATAAGGATGTGGAGAAGCGGTCTTCCAAACTGTTTGTGACAAGCAGTAAGAGTGGTGGCAAGGTGACTGCTGTTGTTGTGAAAGACTGTCCATACATGTGAGACAAGGAGCTCTACAAGTCCCTGAATGGACTGCAAATTTGTTTCTTGATATGTATGATCTTCCCAGAGCTCATGTTCTAAAATTGGGTTTACTACATCTTTGAAAAAACGTTTGGGGCTTGACTGTTTCTGTACATGCATCTTTTTATGTTGTATCCAGTGATCCAGACACTTAACTTTATTGATGGTAGCCAAAAAAGGGGAATATTGAACACACTTAACTTCTTTATGATTTGCTTTTTCTGTCAATTTCCTGACATCATTAGGTTTTTCCCCACCCTTTCTTCCCCTGCTTAACAAGAAAAAACACTGAAGCTGCTGTCCTCCTGGTGATTTAACATTGGGTTTTTCAAAGCATAAAATGTCATCATGTCCTCTGGGCAATGCAGATTACCAAGGTCTATTGCTCTGACTGATATAATTAGAGATTCTTATTCTAGGTGTTGTGTATGAACACTGAAATTTTTACAAGTCTTCAAATGAGTGCAAGGGCAACCTCCATGAAAATGACAAACTAAAAAGTTCAAATTATTCAGTCATGTTTAAAAGTCTTTACTTATTTTAATAAGAGCAAGAAAAAAACATATGCTAATGAAACTGAAAACTGAGGGTCAATATGCTTTAATTGAAAAGCTTTCTGTGAAGAACAATGTTTATTATAACCTATAACTTATTAAGCTTTCTGGCTGATGCTGTGCAATACACAATGAAGCATATTCAGCCCAGAGGAGGTCTTCCAGTCATAGTAACAAAGATTGGGTAAGGATGTAATTGTGGCTGTAGACAGTGATAAATCACAATGTTGATATGGAGATGAAAACAAAGGGCTTTGTTGTTGACTCATTTAACACACCATTCATCCCTAAGGACAGTAGAGAAAGCTTTGAGTAGTCCTTTATCTGGGATTGAGGAAGGCATAAGTGGAGGTGAGAATCTAGTTCCTTCATGAATTGAATTTAGGTAAGGGAAAGAAGAGCTGTCTCCTAATCTCTTAAACTGGTATGGGACAAAGTTTTTGTAAGGCTCTGTGGAAAAGTGGATTTGGGAGGGAATTATATCAATCTCCAGTGTATTGAAGGTGATCCCCTTAGGCAATGGAAGACATCATAAGCTAGAGGGGAATGAAAGGGGGAAAAAGGGAAGTGGTGCAGGTATCTGTCTATTGTTTGGGAAGTGAACACATTTCCTGTCATACTTTGTATGGTATAGACCATAAATTCATCTTTACAAATACTTTTTTGAATTAATGAAGGTGTGTATTAAAGAGGTGTTGTTCATGGCAAGCAGCAACTGATAGTTGTCATTAGTTTGTTGCTATCACCTGCTTCTTCCTTTTGGGGTGTACATGCAGTCTTCCTTCCTTAAAATGGTAGTTACATCTTCCCTTTCATCTGTCCTACATTGTTTGATCTTCTTGACCTCTTGCAAGGATTTCAGAGGACTCTTTCCATTAGCTGTTTTCTGATGGGTCTTCCATTTTGACAATGTCTTTCTGAAAAAAAAAAAAAAAAAGAAAAAAAAAAAAGTGTTGTACTGAAATTAACAGTACATTATCTCCAATACAATAATGACAGCAGCATGACAACTTGTAAATTAATGGTAAAATGCATTATCACCCTTTCGCACACATCTTTTTAGATACTTTGCAACATTATTTTTTTGTACAATATAAACTCAGGAATGTGTTAAATGGCAGCATCATTTATTGTTGTTTACCAGATACAAGATATTTTATTAAGGTTCATAAGCCTTCTATATCTTGTCAAATATGTGAGGAACACTTGATAAACCATTTTAAAAAGTGTCATGGATGGAAACAGCTGGTAATAGAGCCAAGAATGCTGCTTCGGGGCATGTTTCTTAAACCCAGATGTTGATGACTCTCCCATATAATTATCTTTGCAGTTTTTCTTTTGTAGGCCTGTGTCTGCATCTTATACAAGAAATATTCTCCCGTGTTTTATTTTAGTCAATTATTTTATTATAAGTATCTTAGTAGTAGTAGTACTTCATTGTTTTATGCCAGCACTCAGAGATTTCAATCAGAGCTGGACTTCATGATACAATGCATTATAAATGCTGTGTGCAATTTACTATGGGCTGTAAAAAGCTTACTGACTAAGGAGCTCATCATGTAGAGGTGAACAAATGTCATGAGGCTCTTGTAGCAACTTACTCCACTGGAACTGAATTTACCATGATTGCCCGGAAAGTAGTGTCCTTCCTTCAACTCAAAATAAAACTTTTTTTCTTTAATTTTTTCTATCACATAGTATGAGCAAACAATAATAAGTTATTCTCAACAACTTCTCTCATTAGCAAACTGAATGTTGACCAGCAGAGTAATATTAATTCTTGAGTTCTTGGACTGTTTTGCAAATCCTCTAATTTAGTTGTGGTAGAATAACACACTGGCAGTGAGCAAGTGGTTAACACTTGTCAAACAGAAAACTATAATTTCAGTAAGATGGCGGTAAAAATTTAAAATTCTTCTAAGATTTTTCTCTCCAGGTATAATCCCCAAATGACATACCAGGATAACAGCTGGGTATTCTTTTGCTTTTAGATATGAGACAGGAGGGAGACTGCAGGATCCCAACACTGCAATTAGGCTGATCTAGAGCGATCCTGGTTTATGATGTATGAATTACGAGATCTACACTTGAGATACACAATCAGTACCTATGCTGGTCCTCCAAACCCTGTTACAATGGAGAATATGTCCAGCTCTGCTGATGTAAGAATTATTAAGGTTAAATTTTAATTCACAGGATTGGGAGTGCTTCCTCACACTGATGTTCACATAAAAACCCTAAGATCATCCTCATTTCACACCGAACCATAGACTAGCCTTTACACATCCATCTCTCCGTGAGATGGAAACCCTGGCTCTCAGGCTGGAAGGTTGCTCAGCTGCACAGACTTTGTAGATGTCCATCTCTAATATGTTGGGTTTTGTTTGGTTGTTTTTTGTTTTTTGTTTTTTTTTTTTTTTTTTTTTTTTTTTTTCTGAATGTGCTAGAGCTATCACATTACAAAGCTTTACATTTTGAAATTTGAGCCAAATTTGGATTGGTGTTGATGAGGGCACCAAAATACACATTTCAGCATGCAGAGTGAGAGAGAGTGAGGATAATGAAGATGGTGGCAGTCTAGTATCTGTCGTGTCACACCAAAATCAAAGCTCTTGCTTCAAAAATAGTAGCAACAACTTTATGAGAAGAAAAACACAGTCCTATAGAACATGTTCTAAAATTTTCTATCTCTAATCCAGCCATAGGCAATTACTTTTCACTAAAAATTGTGAAACAGTGGCCATAGTTGGATGATTCATCTTCAGCATTTCCAAGATATGCATCTTCCTGAGCAATACTAGAAATAAATCTTCCAGTATCATATTCATACACTTCTTGCTCACAGTAAAATGCCAAAAGATTAACCAGATACCAGTTAATTGGTGCTTTGTGGATCTCTGTATGAGCTGAACAGATAGGGTTTTACAAGAGTCGAAAACTATTTGCTCTGCTGTAATAATGTCTCTAACTACTTCAACAATTAAAATCATTGTAAGGATTGTGTGAAATATATTTATTACTGTTGTTAATTGGGATGCATGAATCAAAAGAGGAAAGCTGTTATCCTGTAAGCTGAACCTGACTTCTCTTAGTACAGTGAGATTTATCTTGCGAGGGAAAAATGTTGCATAAATTCACACACTTTTCTCCAGTATTTACTGATTGTGTCAACTGACATTGTCCTATGATTATTTTTAAGAATTACTAGTCTCTGCTTTACTTTCTGTCTCAACTGTTTTTATAAATTCACCCAAATGTTTTCCCAGTGGATAAAGTCAAGGAACTCAGAAATATTCTAGGGTCTCTTGTGTCTCCTCTGCCAATTAAACCTGGTCTGATCATGAGCATTAACTCTATAGTTTCCAAAAGGAATTCTGCTAAAGAGTATTAATGTGGCAATCCTATCTGTGAGGTTAGGAAAGGGCAAGAAGAGGAACAAGAGAATTCAAGGAGATGAGACTATGATGGTCTTCAATGAACAACCTGATCGCTGTCTGGAACCAGCATCAGGTATGGTCAAATCCTGATTGCTGTCACCCATAAACTGGCCTTTTGTAACTTGGTGCTTGCAGGTATGCATCACCAGCATCCATGAGAGTACTCATTATCCTCTGGAGAACCCTTGAAGATGATAGCACCAGTACAGTCCAACAAGAAGCTCTTGAGCTACTAGGAGACAAAGCAAGAGAAAATATTTATTTAGAAGGCATCCCTGAGAACAGAACACATTAGACATAGGTCACTGACAGAGCACTGAGGGACGAGCTGTTTCCTTTAACTGAGTCATGAAGACTTACATACTACCAGGGAGTATAGGTTTTGTGATGGCTTTCTGGAGGAGCTGGTGGGAGTCCTCAAGGAAGGAGCGTTCCTTTGTGTCTCAAGTAGTTATTCCCATTTTTGACCTTGCTTAGAGGAACAGGAAATGTGTAGGTAAAGATTAGATATGAATTTCTTTAAAATTCTCATTTTTGATAGTGCATATAAATATAGAATAATATTTTGTAACTGTTGAAACAGCTGAGAATTCATTTTAGTAATGAATTTTTCTAGATTGTATTGTAGTTTCTTCTACTTTATAATTGCAGTGCTGTTTTTTATAACTGCATAAAAATAAAGTGCTATTGTCATATTCTCTTGAGTAACTTAATGACTACATTTTTTGAGGTAACTGACTACTGTAATTATGTAATGCATATTCTCTGTACAGGAAGTTTTATGCATATAACTTTAAAATACATGGTAGGCATTGAGTTACACTTCCTTTATCAGTTTTTTTCCTTAGTAAGGTGGGACTTTTCCTCTATTTTGAATACTTTTGATGAAGAACATAATAGAAAAAGCAAACATGACAATGTATTCTTAGTTTAGATTTGTTTGGGTTTTTTTCCCTTAGTCTTTTTAAAATCTGGAACCGATATACAGTATTCCATAAATGTGCCTCATTTTGGTTTGTTTTTTTTTTTTTTTTTTTTTTTTAAATTTACATTGTTGTGATGAATAAAGTATGCTTACTTTTTAAGAAAAAAAGCTCCTCAACTTTGAGATTACTAGTACCTGAACTAAAATATAGATTTGATATTAACGAAGCATTGACAGAAACAAAAGCTATGGAGATTTCAAATCCACCTTTTAATTTCAATAAGTTAATGAAGACATGTATTTATACCAATTCAAGTTAGCTCTTTTTCTTCTGAACAATTCAACAAAAACTTGAAGATTAGATGTAATGGTAAGCATTAAGTCCAACTGGCAGCTTTTTCCACACTGAGATTAGAAGTTTGGTTTGCCTTTTACTTTGAGCCTTTTTACTCTATTGAGAAATGGCCTCAAGAGATATATCTCAACTTTCTCACAAAAACAATAAATATTTTAATGCCAAAGAACTTCCAGACTTTTTTCAGTGTCCAAATCATCTCAGCTGTCACCTTGTTGTCAGTCTTCATTATTTTTTCATATTTCTCTAATTCAAGAAAGAATATATTGGCAATATTAATGTGTTAATGCTGCATTCACAGATTAGATTAATGGGCCTGGGGTTGAGAAGGTGAGGACACATTGTTCTGTACATCCAGACATATTTCTTTATAAATAAGCACAAATGCAGAATGCAGATTAATGGGCCCCTCTCACTGTTCTGGACTGCTAATGCACATCACAGCATCTAGCCAAAGCTGTGGATACAGATAGATGACAGATTTTCACTCCATAAAGCAGAAAAAGTCTAGATCTGCCATCTAGACGAAGAAATATCTCTGTGACATTCAGGTGGGATGGACTCCAGCAGAGTGAAAGCAGCCGGAGAAGGTGGGGTTTTTAACAAGATTCTGCTGTATGGACTGTTCTGCTCCTCTAGTCTGTCATCACTGCTCATCATACAAATGGTCACAATCATCTTTTGATTCCATATGTGTGACCAACACAAGATCTAACATATAAGTGGTCAGCAATATGAAGCAATAATCTTTGGGTAAATACAGCTTTGTTGTCTGGTGTGCCTGCCTAGAATAGGGCTGGAAGCTGTATAATATTCTCCATGGTAAAATGGTTACAACTAATTGGTATAGTTATAATTGATAGACCTTCAAAGCAGTTTGAAAGATATTAGTTACAATATAAGACCTCTTGCTGTCTCCTGACATATGCTGCTGACTGTGTTGGGTTGCATGATACATCCCCTTCCATGTCGTCAGGTACAGTTGTAACCAGAGAGCCACAGAGCTTTCTGTCATTCTGGGTAGGAATATAAACCATTGGACAAAGGTGGGCAGGTCAATACAGCTGACTATCCCACATCTCTAAGGAAAAGCATAGGCAAATCTTATGCATGTAAAAGGTTAGAACTAATTATTAAATCCTTCTCTGATTTGCACTTTCAGGAAGAACATCAACAATAATTTTCCACTATCATATCCAGATGTCCTTTTGTTCCTAGATATAAGGTGAGCAGGCAGGAGCTGGGGCTAATCAGATACCACCAGATCTGATTAACTTCTTGCACAGCTTCACAAGCTAATCAGGCAGAGGTGACCAAAGCAACAAGATGTTGCCACCAGTTCTTATAATTTCAATAAGTATTGTAGTTATTGAAGTTCTTGTTGGATTTATTGGGAATGGATTTATTACAGCTGTTAATATCATTAACTGGATCAAAAGCAAAAAAATTTCTTCTGCTGATATGATCCTGATCTTTCTGAGCACATCAAGATTTATCTTACAGGTGACCATACTGATGCACATTCATAGTCTCTACTTTGCAAATGTGTTTAAGCTGGCTTCTGTGTACAAAGCTTTTGGCGCTGTTTGGATGTTTGTAAACCATGCCAGTTTGTGGTTCAGTACCTGGCTCTATGTACTATACTGTGTAAAGATAATCAATGTCACCCAATGGCTGTTGCTGCAAATCAAGCTTGGAATAGCTGGGATGGTCCCATGGCTTCTTCTGGGATCACTGGTGATCTCTTCTGTGACTTCTCTTCCTTTACTATGGATTACATCCAGCACTTACCTCTGCAGCTCAACAGGGAACTGCAGAGAAAATAGAACAGCACATAGTACTGACTGGGATAGTTCAGATCTCTACCTGCTGCTTCTTTACTTCGTAGGTTGCTTTTTTCCTCTAGTACTATCTGTGGTAACCTCAGCTCTATTAATTATTTCTCTATGGAAACACACAAAGAAGATGCAAAGTTATGTAGATACTTTCAGGGATCCTTTGATACATGTTCACTTAACTGCCATTAAATCCATTATTTCTTTCTTGATCCTGTATCTTTCCAGTTTTGCAGCTCAAATTTTGTTGATACTGTCTACTTCTGAAAGTAAAGATGATGTGAAAGTTGCAATATCCTTAGTCGTAGCTGGGGCATATCCTTCTATACACTCTGTTATCCTGATCATAGTCAATTCAAAACTGAAATTGGCATTTAGGATACTTTGCCAGCATTTTAAGTGCCATTTGGAAAATATGAACCTAAGCCCCGTGTTATAGCTTGAGAGAAACATGCTATAGTAACAGAGTTGGAATAAAAACTTTTATGTATGTATTGTTTCACCATATTTTTTCTTAGTCGATAATTTTCATCTTTCAGAGATTTCTGTGATTAGACATTCTTAGCATTTCTAGACATCTAAAATAACATGCATTTTTGAATTTTTTTTTACACCACTCTTGTTCCCTCAATCTTATTTAATAAAGAGTGAAAATAAGAATGTACTGAAAGGAAACAATGCACTTAAATAATAAATCAAGTACAGGATGCTTTGTGATTTTGGATTCTCAGTTTAAGACTGACAGTGTTATGATACATTTGAATTGAAGAAAATTAGGCTAAAACAGAACCAAAATTTGCAGAGCTCACAAATACCAGTTCACTACTAAAGGGTCTTTCATCTGAGACACTTGAAATTGGGTTAAACACATGTTGTACAAGCCATAGCTAGTGTGACATACAAACAGATTATGCTTCTAAACATGAAAAACTAGCTAAAAGATAACCTGAGGAGAAATTAAGATTTGGAAACTTGTGACAAATTAATGTAATCAAATTACATTCTGAATCAGGTTTATTTGTGTTGGCATTCCAATATGTATATAGTAATTTAGTGGTTAAATACCTCTTTAAAATGAATCCTTTTGTTCAAAACATATTTTATGCTCATTCATTTGGTTTTCTTGAAAGTGGATTACTAAGGTGGTAATTACAATGTCAACAGATATATGTACATAGAACTACCTGTCCACTGTAGAAAATGTCTTTCAAATCTCCTTCCTGTTGAGTGGATCATTCTGGTCACAAATTTGTCTTGTTACCTGATTTGCTGTTGCTTTGAGTAGTTGTGAGTTTTTTCTAAGGCTGTTCAGTTTTAATATTTCATGTTACTATGAAGTTTCCTATGGAGTTGATTAAATGTTCAACAAATCCTGTCGTGTTTTGTCAAATAATGTGCTAGATGATTCTTTTCTGAAGTTCTCAGCCCAGCTCAAGTATTTTTATGCTGTATATTCTCTCTGCTGGAATTTAGATAATGTTAGATTATAAATCACTATGGTGAGAGTTTCAGTTCCATCTATAAAACTAATGAGCAGGGTGATTCACTTAGTCTTGGAGTGAGTGTTTGAAACATTGAAGTAATACCTTTATAAAATGCTTTGAAATCACTATTTAACAATATTAGATAAAGGGTGAATATATAATTTTTAACTGATACCTTAAAATATTTTTTCCAATTAAATATATATTAATAGGAGGAATAAATTAATGCACTGTGTAATATGAAGAGATATGATTATTAGCATTTGTAAACAGTGGGCTCGTACTGCATAGCAGGAGAGAAGAATGATTAAACTCATAAACACAGCGTTTGGAAGTACAGTACAATGTACTGTAAAACTAAGACTGCCATAATGTCCAGTGCTGTGTGTGTTGCATCAAGAGAGACCCAAAAGTCTCTTGAGAGTCCTGCCTGGGTGGTTCTGCAGAGAAGCAGATGGGAACAACTGTGCTTTACACCATATCACCACCCTGCTCTGCAGTCGCAGAGGTGCACCAAGATTAGAAGGGTCACACAGAGATAGCTCTTTTGGTTCTTTTTCCAGCTGACAGCATCATGAAAAGAAATTGTACTGAAAGAAATAAGGGATTCTGTGATGGTGATTTTTATTTTTTTGGGGGGAGAGGACAGGGGATGGTTATCAATGTTGTCTGGGATTTTTTTGACCTGATCAGGAAGCTTTGCAAAAATTAATTTTCCCAGTTAACTAATTTCTCTTTAGGTATCTCCAAACCCATTTATGGTGTCAGTCTGAAGGAAAGGGATCAGAGCCAACAACCCTGGCTCAGCTTTTTCCATGCCTCTGTGCCTTCAGGAGGGGAATATCTGAAGTGGGAGCAATGATTAATAAAATATCCTTCAGTGCTTCCAGGGGAGTGGAGGACAAAGCTCAAACACTTGATGTCTTTATATTGTATTGATGAAAGTTTTGTTACACACAGCACAGAGTGAGATGGATGGGTACATAAATTAGAATTTTAAATTACTGAATTGGTAAATAAATTATTAGTTTTGTCCTTTCCTTTTCCATTCTCCCCCAAAGTTCAATTTATTTTCATGTCTTGTTCCACAGTAGATACAGTTTCCCATTTATTTTATGATCTTGCCCTGCTCTTTGGATTTCAACCTTTCTCTTCCTAAAATCATTATCAGTATTCTCTGCGGATCTAGCTTTCTTTTTCTGGTACATTTTAAAAAAATCTTTCTGATTATTATTTTACAACAAAATATCATGCACCAAATTATAGTAGGCTTGTTTCTTTATCTAGTTTATCCCAGAAAGCAGATAAATAAATCTGATGAAAGTTTTGGCAATTACTATTTTTCACAAAAAAAAAAAAAAAAAAAAAACCAAAAAAAAAACAAACTTTGTTGAGATTTCATTGTCTAAGAAATTATATGGTGCTTGAAAGTAAGACTCAGTTCACTGGTACATCTCCCCTGGAACTTTACAAGTTACACAAAATGTAGACAACATGAATGAAAAATACTGTCTGAAGTTCATATGAGGCCAGTAGCTATAGCAACATCAAGATCATTGTAGGGATGATGAAAAAAGTGATTAATGTAGTTGTTCATACTGACAACATGAAAACCAAACCTTCTCTCATTCAATTGTTTAGTTTTTAGTGCTATGGTTATTGTTTTTCTAGGTCAGAATTAATCACAGTTCTCTTTCGAGGAAAACAAATATTTTGTTATGTAGAACTTAAGGGACTTCTGATTGCAGTCTCAGTATCATCTTCGTGAAGCTGACAAATTTCTCCCTACCAGTCCTTCAGTATGTAAATCAGAAAGGAGAGCTATGACAGACATTCTGGGTTTCAACTTCAAGTCTGCTTTGTCATGTCTTTCCTTTTGCCTGGATCAATCACAGGCTGTATGCGACTGAACCAGTAGCTGGATGGTGGATATGAACTCTGATATCTCAAACATTAAAATCCCTCTTCTGCTAACCCTGGAGTCTTCCTTTTTCTTTCTGATATTTTGTGGTCCTCCATGGTGCCAATTACCTCTCTGCAGAGATACACAAGGCAGCACTGCCAGCTCTAGGGATCCCAGAACAGATGTTTTTATAAATGCCACTAAAGTTCTAATTTTCTCTGTTGCCTGTTTTCTAACAGTGATCACAAAGTCTTTAACCTTCCTGGTATCTGACAGCACCATAGTGCTAATTTATTCTGATTAATTTTGGATAATCTCAAAAGTAAAATGTGTCAATGAAAATGCCACAATGTACCTATCTTTTCTTGAAATATGAATTCCCACATTCCTGCAAGGTCTGGAGAAAAGTTCTAACTTCTAGAAGAGTTTGTAATAGGGTGATAACCTCAGATTACTTTTATCTCTATTTATTTATTGTCTTCCCTATTGTAATGCTCAACCTTCATCTCATTGATATCACAAGGACAGTTTCTTCAATGTTATGAAATACTTCTGAAAGCTAATCCCTCTTCTCAATATTTCTTATCCTGTTTGTTTCTCATTTGAGGAAGTCTGTATAGGAGGTCATTGGAGCTTAGTTAGATGTATAAATAATGCTGTTCATGAATCTGTCAGACAAACTCTTCAATAGAAACATGGGCCTTGCCTTAAGGGTTATTAAAGAAAAAGAAAAAAAAATGAAAAAAATTTAGTTTATGAATGAATATGCAACTGGTTTTGACTACCCATGAATATTAAAAAAATAAACTAACTGCATGTTAATACTACTTTTTAGCTGAATGCTTCATTATTTTCAAACTGCCATGTCTTCTTCTCAATACCTATGCTTTTGCAGTGACTCAAAAGAACTTTATATTGGTCAGAGTAATTATAATGAATATCCATTACTGGACAAGATGTGATGGAAAAGAGCATGTGCACTCTTAAAACCAGAGTTCATGACACTCATAAACATTTCAGAGGTCAGAGGGTTTTGTCTCATTCCTAAAACTTTGTCTCCACCCTGAGAGACCATATTCCTTCTCTAGTATTCAGCCTACCTGTGTGTGAAAGGACAGAGACAACATTTTATTGTCAGAAAACAGAGAAGTAGTATAGATGGTGGCTACAATGTGATTTATGTGGACTTTTGAGAAAGGAGAGAAGTGAGAAGTAGCACTGATCCATGACATCTACTTTGTCTCTTCTCTTTTCACAGTGCAGGTAAACAACCCAGGGCAATGGTGCACCCTCCAAAAGCAGATGCTGCTGAATTGGGATTCACACACCAAATGCTCCATTGCAGATCTGTTTTTTTGCTATCACAGGAAAAGCAGAGCCAAACTGCTAAACAGGAAGAATGACTTGCTATCATCATCCCTCGGTTGCCTGTTGCAGAGGAGGGATGAAATTAAACTCTTTCTGGCCTTTAGGCACTGAGATGTGATACTGTAATGAGATTAAGATGGATGAGCAAATTCATAAATTAGAAAAAGGATTGGTAGGTGATAAAACTAGATCTTTTATCCTCTTCCACCCTGTCCCTCCTTTCCCCCTAGTGTCATATTTGCATTTCGTTTTTTCCGATCTTCATGTCTTCTTTTGTTTTTTTTCCACTTCTTTTGAGGTCTGTCTGTTTTCCTTTCTAGAAAGAAAAATATAATTCTTCATTTATCACCCCTCTTTCTTCCCACTTCCTCTAAAAATTTTGTCTGGTTTTGCTGCTGTTGTTGCTGTTATTGCAAATGCATACTAATGAAATCAAGCTGGGTTCATTCCCACATGTACTTTATTCTAATAAGCACACAGTACAAGACAGCTTATTGGTTTTGGCAGATTTATACTTTTGTGATAAAATTGAAAACAAAATTATTCCCTTTCCTTGTGAAGGTGTTTAAAAAAAAACAACCAACCCACACGCTGAGACCTTGAGATATTTGAAGCTTCCCTTTCAAATCCAACTTCAGTCAGTTCTACTTTGTTGTCCTTTCCCTATCGCTTGCTGATCCATTT